CCCCGGCCAGCTTTCCCCCAGTTTCTGTACTGAGCATGACGTCACATGGTATGGAATGTCCCTTTGGCCAGTTTGGGTCAGCTGTCCTGGCTGTGCCCCCTCCCAGCTTCTTGGGCACCTCCAGCCTTCTCAGTCGGTAGAGCATGGGAAGCTGAAAAGTCCTTGACTAGTGTAAGCACTACCTAGCAACAACTAAAACATCGGTGTGTTATCAACATTGTTCTCATCCTAAATCCAAACCACAGCACTGTACCAGCTACTAGGAAGGAAATTAACTCTAGCCCTGCTGAAACCAGGGGTTTCTAACATGAATCGGATGCGAGGAAAAGGAAGCAACTTTTTACTGAAAGTTGAAACTTTACTGAAAACTGGAACCTAAAGCAAGAAAAGTGCTTTAGTAACAGAAATCCTCTGCATGAGGTGAGGTAAGATCACATATGGTAAAACATCAAATGGTGGTAGGTAGGATTAAATAGAAATGTTACCAGCTAGGAAAGCTAAATAGGACTTTCTGAAGACCACCCTGTGCCTTCAGGCTCTCAAGGCAGCCACTGGAACTCTACAGAGAGGGCATTCCCTTAGTAATAATGAGCAAAATAATTCAGCTTCTGGTCAGAGGTATGGTATTCAATTTGGGAACAAGACACCTAAACTTCAGTGCTATATATAAATACCTACCTGCATGCTAAGCGAGAAATTCTCACTATAGTCAATACACTCAGCGGAGGCTGGAGCTGATCAGCCTCAGGTATCTACATTAGGGTGAGCTGAATCACCCTCTTGGCTCCATTTTCCATATGGACTAAATCTCTGTGGACCATTACGGGAGTTCAGACACCCGCCACACATGCAGACACCTACATGGAGACAACTAAATATGGGTATCCCAAGCTTAACAGGATACTGCTTGTGGAGATGCGGAGAGGAAACACTTGGAATAAGTGAGGACAAACAGTTGTACTCCTGAGCTGGCCTGCACTAAGAAACCCTCCAGCGGTGGCCACAGCAAAGAGGGGCAGTGGCTCCCAAAATCCGGCTCAGGACCAGTACACTGGAGGTGAAAGAAAAAATGAGTAATATAGGAAATATTACATACACATGAAATGTGTCTTCACTGCAGGAACACAGTGATAAACCTAATGGGTTTGCTCTAATATAAGTTAACTTCCTCTAGCTCCTGATGGACATACCTTAACTGTCAATTCCAAAATAATGACTATGACCCCTTTGATAAAGTTATGTGCTCTGTAAGTGTTATACAATACTGCTTGCTTATCTCTTTTCCTTGAGGACTATTACCAACCTCAAGTATCAAAATTGGAAAAATAAAGAGAGATGCGTTAAGCTGAAAAGAACAGCGAGATTCCCATTCAAATGCTGAACTACTTTACTCCTTTTATTTGTCTGTTGGCAAACACAAGTAGAAATGGGTTATATCTTAAATTTTTTTAGTAACTAGGAAGAAAGAGAATTGTTTTTAAAAATAAAAGGAGGAATTCTCACATATTCACTGTACTCCAGGAGACAGGTATTAAATACAAGATCAAATACAGCAGGACGTGTGATAAAATCATTAGAGTTAGCAATACTGCTATTGCTAGATGATGCTTTGAAAACCTACTGAAACAGTAAATCACCAAGCCCTCAATGTGGGAATACAACTGCAAAATGTAATCAATAATAATTTCAGCTACTGTATATAAGCATTTAATCTTCCATGAAAATATGCTTTAGACTTGCACATACTATAGAATTCATGGCAGTGTGTTGGTATCTCCAGAAATATAATCTCTGTGTTTTAAGGATTTTGTTGGATAAAGCAGCTTAAAAACTGAATTAAATAAAACCTCCCCATTACTAATCCTTATTAGTTTCCCACTTGCTGTTCTGAATGTAACAAATAATAATTTTTAAAAGACAGCTGTAAGGCAAAATGAGAAGCTGATCTGTATCATTTTAACTCTGGATGGTCCCAAAATCATTATAGAGAGCTGGAGGACCAGTTATTTTGCCCCTACAGTGCAAAAGTCCCCATGGCTCACCAGTCATATGTAACCTTAAGAAAAACACCCCAAAGATTTCTTCCTGAAATGCAGATAGAATCAAATTTGCCTATAGCTTTAATGGATATCTCTCTTTTAGGGTTAATTGCTCGTTTTTATTGCTTCAGTATCTGAGTATCTTTTTAGTTTCATGGGAAGCTCCCTGGATCTAAATTCACACCTCTCTGACCTTCATTTCAAAGACAAAATATATCTTATGTGTGAGGAGAGATCCACAAGAGAAAGCCATCAAAAGTTGAGTATCTTAAAAAACCCAGGCCAGAAATGAAAATGGCATTATTAACACTTCCACCTAAACTTGTTTGAAACCAAGACTAACAGCACTTCATTATGCAAATGAACTACTACAATCAGTTACTAATGTAAATTATTTTCTGATAATCAATTTTGCTTCTTAATATATCACAGCTGTTTGAAATCAAACTACATTCTCCAGAAGGGGCACAGCCATATATGTACACATTTAAACTGTATCTTTAGGAAAAACATTAATGTTAAAATGTGCTCTTTTTTAACACTATCAGACTTGCAAGCAATGCATACAGACTATGTAAGTCTGGGTTCTGACTGTGTCACAAAACAAAAGCTTAGCTTTCACAGTTATTACGCTGTCCGCTAATTTTGCAGCCCACAGTATCTGTGTCATAAGGCTTTGAGAAACTCAATCTGTATGCAATGCAGATTTGTCCAAATTCATTTGGCATTGGAACAGTCACTGCATTCCAACATTTGCAGATTTTGTATCAAAAGAAAGTACTTCCAGTTTAAAAGAGAGATAAAAGTTTTGTTCCTGAGATCAGTAAAGACGAAAATGTAGACATTATGTTCATAATACCCGGATGAAGCTAGTAAATAGTCATTTAGGATAACCCCAAGAGTTATTAACAGAAGCCTTGCTTGAACCAAACACAATTTATTTTAGAAAGGAGTATTATGAAAGACAAAAAATTTGCCATATAGTGTAACAAGGGCCCTCATTCAATCTAACGTAACAGTCTAGTAATGTAAATCTGATGTATATTTTAGAAGGTATTTCACAGGTTCCATTTACATAATGTGTTTGGCTGAATTGGAGGCTTCATGAGAATAATATATAAGAAAAATGTTTCTCGCAGCAAGGGATAAATTGGTCCTTTTTGTTTGCCAATTAGGAATGTAACCACTTTTAAAAATTGAAAATCCAACATTACAATGCATCACAGAAAATTTCCATAATAAGTCACTCGCTCCTGTGCTCTGATTCCTTTTCATTAGAATTTTATCAGCATGCATTTACTTAAATGAAAAAGAAAGGAGAACCTAAATATTTCTGCTTCATGTTAATACTGTCGGATAACTGTGTGGCACAACAGCAGCACGGTTGGAAGCGCTT